CCTGAATTGGGATACAGCCAATGACATTGCACAGTCTGTTGTTTTCTACCCCTGTGGAATCTGTCAATGAGCTTCTGTACCGATTTGGCATTAAAATAGCAGTAAAAACAGACACAGCTGTGCACTCCAAGTTAAAAATTGAAAGACGCATGACCAACCAGAATCAGCACAGAGGATGTGACATCAGTTTCGTCACAGATTCGTCACATAGCACCGTGCTACGGGGTGAACGGCGAGCATAAATGGGTGGATGGATGGAGTCGGCCACCTTCTGGTCAATTAAAAAGATTGCAGCTGTTTTTTTTTAACTAACTTCAGTTTTCAGTCCTGTAAACCAGATCCATCTTTTATATACAGTGTATGGGTGCAGCAGGGTGTGAGGGAAGTAGTAAAACTGCTCAGGGGGGGAAAATGCACACAAATGACACAAATAAATTTGATGACTTGTTTTATGGCACTGCTCTATGACATCCCAGTTGACTTTATAAATGCAGGAAAGGGTAACATAAGACATTTGTCATTAAATTTCTTTTAAAATGACAATGCTGCAAAAGCAGACTTAATATATTTACTCTAAACAGAATTTAAGTAGTATTTATGGTAACAGTAGCGCAGTACAGCAGCACTTAGCAGGCATATAAACGGGTGGACTACAATTTGACTAAGGCTACAAAACAGAAGCAGCACAGAGTGATCAGCTGAAAATCTTCATCTTTTAAAGACTAACATTTTCCTGTTTTGTCCTTCTTTTTTTCTCTTGCGGTTCAGCAGCTGCAGGGTATCAAATACCCCTTACTTTTCAAATGGATGAATGAAAACATGAGTGACTGCAGGAGGAGAAAGCATTACAGGCCCTTAAAGGGGGATCGATCGTCCGTGTGTCTGTCAGTATGCGGTGTGAGCATGCCCAGTGTTAAAGCTTGCTGAGATGATGGAAAACCAGTGGGACAGACGAACTCTAGGCTGGAACCGTTTGATACTGCTTTTCAGAGAGTGTTGCCGGACGGGCGTCGACTCGGTCAATTCAGAGGCTCAACTCAACTCGCATAAAATAAACCATCAAAGTGCACAAAATGGACTAAGTCAGTTATTTTCTGGTTTACACCTGTGATAAAATCAACAACTATCAATCTGCTAATGTTTGCGAGCTACATCTGCTGCTTGTGGTATTCTTTATTATTAATAGATATCTTAAAAAAAAAAAAAAAAAAGGAAACATGGAGACAAATGCAAAACAAAAGTGTATCCAGGCCTACGAGAGGCGAGCCAGGCGATTGCTTTAACGTGGACCACCGGGAGGAACAGAGGAAGGGGATAAATGGGAGCGAGGCTGCTTTTCGTCAGTAAACGTGTCTGTCTGTGTTATTGTCCTAATCGTTCGTTTTGCCTTCAGCTTTGCTTTAGAGAGCCAGAAGAAAGGAAAGCTAGTGGAGGGCAAGAGGGAGGCTGTAAAACCTGTTAGGAGTTCCTATTTTTCAGCACATTTGTTACAGTCTTACCTAAGGAAGACTGAAAACATTACTGAATGTGAAAAGCGCAAAAAGACTGCCACGAGCAGAGATCGGGATATAACGTGGATTGTATGATATGATGAAGCCTTAGTCCAGCTTGCAACTCCAGGCATGAAGAGACTCGAGAAAGTTGTAAGATCTTGGTGGTGAGCAAGTCTGGTGTTACATTTGTATTTTTCTTTACTTTTGCTTTTGTCCCATTTTATATGACATGTAAAATGTGTACATACTTTTGCCAGAATGTGACAGATTGTTTAAAGACGGAGCTGGAGAGAAGAGTACGTCCTGACACACCTGGGACAGAAAGTGAAACTTTACCGGAAACCTTTAGAGTCTGCCACGCGTTTGTTTTGGTTTGCACTGTGGCAGGCAATGACAGAAAGGTTCTTGTTATAATATAAAATGTACTCATCGGTATTTTGACCCAGGCCTGTCAGGATGGATGGAGGTCTCTGATTAGAGGATGATGACTGATGTCCTGTACATTTCTTTACCATGCTTCAACTTTATTAATATGATATTTGTGTATATTTTCTGATTCAATAAAAAAATATACACACCTTATACAAACTTCTAATGATATCTTTCTCTTGATGGAAACATGCTTAAATATTCATATTCATAACTGATCTCAGAATACAAATGCTGTACAGAAGTCTAAAGATGTCTTTAAAATTTACTTCCAGTAGTTCCTTTATCTGACCAGAGAAGTGTTATCTGTTTTTAAGCTACTTGATGCTGATACGTGGATCATTTAAGTATAAATTAGGCACAAGACTTGAACCAATTTGAAACTGGAATTTGAACTTGGAAGAATACCCAAAACATGCCAAAGGTCAGTTTGATAGGCATAAAATAGTATTTCTGCACGAATAAAGTGATTCCAGAAAACCTGTGTGTGGTGTACAATATTTAAATGCCATCTTTTTAAGAAATAGGAAAGAATATAGCAAAGAACCTGAGAGATCCATCTGGCCCTTCAGTTGATCCATCTGCATTAAGTGTCTCCTGTGGAAGTCTTCCTCCTCTCAGTTGTGTCTCCCTTGTTTCCATGCTCTTCTCTCTGTGTTTCATCCTTTGTCTCCCCAGTCTGTCATGTATTTCCATGTTTGTGTAGCTCCGTCTAAATGTCAAGCTTGCGTGAAAATTAAGCATGCTAGCCCCACATCAACACTTACTGGCCCCTTCTTTTTGCTCTACTTCCAGGTCTAATTCTTAGCTTTTGCACTCATTTCGTAATAAAGAAGACAGGAATTACTGTAGATGAAAAGTAATGTTGGCAGTCAAAATAAACTTGAGGACTTCAGCCAGACCTTCTGTGTTACCAAATGAATGTTGTTAAAATTCCCAAATTCCCAGGCCTTGATAATGAAGCTCTATGACGGGGTGTCAAATGTGGAAATAATAACCTGTAGGGTGCCATTTTGAGAGTATTTGTTTATTTATTGAACTTTTTTTTTAGATTATATTAATGGTACTGCGATGAAAGTGTTTTTTAATAACTGCTAACTGTTGCACTTAAATGGTAGCTCACTAGCCATTACTAATGCAGCTAATTAGACGTGTGCTTTTTCTGCCATGAAAAGCCTACAAAGGTCTGAAAAAGTAAAATAAAGGCGTTATGCAGTTTCCGTTTCCCACACATCGACTACACAGTTTGGACAGGAAGTTGTAAACGAATAATGAATCATTCACTGAATTTGCGGGAGCACCTTTGTTTGTGCAGCACCCACACTCTCACTGCTGCTGATCTCTGGACCAAGAATAGAACCGCGCAAGCTCAGTGTTAAGTAGGCAGACCACGCCCCTTTCCGGTTAATTAAAAGGTAGGTGATTGGCTGCGTTGGCTCGTCCTCGCGGAGTAGGCGGGGCTGTGTGATCTGCAGTTAATCCGACAGGGATTGGACTGGAGCTGGAGCTTGATCGCAGACAGGGGATCGGAGGAGAGTGACAGGGTTTGCTGCACTAACTTCTGAAACACCGACAAAACTAGGTGGACGCTAGGAGTTATAAATACATAGGAGCAACAGAAAGATAGAGTAGAAGTTGTGTAACATGACAGACAAACTTTAGAGGTGAGTTTTTGGGGTGAGACGCTGAGGGGTTAACGGCGCGGTCCACCGACGACTCAACATGGATGTCCGGGGAGCAACGGTGCTGCTTTAAGAAGGAATTAAGGCCGTTTGTCGGTTATTTCTAGCCGAAGATTTTTTTTGTGTGTGTGACGGAGCTGAGGACGATTTTAAATAAGCGGGTGAGTCTAGACTTTAAAACAAACTAGAAAACTTCAATTGTTACTTCATTGCTAGCATAATAAAACTCTGTGTCCGTTTCACGCTTACAGTTCAAGTTCAGCTGTGGATTGTTGTAGCTAACATTTAGCAAAGGTGAGTCTTTTTAAATAAAAGCTTGTTGAAATGAATATTTTTTCTTATTTCAACTTTATAATTCATTCATTCACTTTGAATAAATCACAGCAACATAATAAATGATTACTGAAGTAACTGAAAGGCATACACACACAGATTTTTAGCGTCTTTTTGTTTTTGAACTGTTTGTGTTGTTGTTGCTTGTACGCCTGCTAATCCAGTCTGGCTACCATTAATGATAAACCCACCCCGTCTGCCCCCCATTGCCCCTTTCCATCTGTTACTTTGTTTTCCTGACCGCCTGCCTGTCCCTATATTATTCCCTTGTGCGTTTGAGACTGCATAGACTGACCTTTTATTTATTTCCCCCCTTTCAAATGAGACACAAAGATGGCCCTCTGCTTCAGCAGAGCATCTTTTCACTGTGCCTGGTGTTATATGTGTGGCTGCTGATGCCTTCATTTCTTCTTGTTGACATATGCTGATCCCCTGCAAACCAATACAAATGGCCTGCTGTCACACACATACACACAGATCTTAGCCACCAAAGAAACGCCTATAAGTAGCCTAATTTTATCAACCCACTAAATTCATTTGTTACAATTTAATGTAATTTATTTTAAGAAAGTAAATAGGAGGACTGCTGATGTGTGTGTGTGGGAGGAGGGGGTGTCATTATGTCAGGTTGTGTGCTGTTTGTTTGATGTGCTGCTCTGACAGACAGCATGATTAGTGAGACTGAAGGTTACCATCTCTCGCTCACAATCAGTTTCCACTTATAGCACTCACGCCTGCTCTTTTTATTTATTGCCCCTGGTTCTGTCAACAGTGACGTGAGCAAGAACACGGACACCCCGAGAACATTCCCATTGTTCGTCACAGTCAGCGAGCAGCTGTCCCCATCATCAGGAGCTGTTGATAGGGCCGCTTGACTTAAAATCTTTTGTCTCTATCTAAATTTCCTCTGGCTGAAAGTGGTTCTTGTTCAGCTCACTGATCATACATGAAGAAAATGCACCCTAAGGTGTGACATTATAAATTTTAACAAATTATTTTAGGCCCATTCGGTGTTGTTATAATGTCCAGGGTCCACATCGTCAGGATTTTATTCTGAGTATGCAGTTACATTGCAGAGAAATGCAGAAACTGAAAACAATTGTCTTTAAACGTCATGTTTTGCTGCTAGTCTTTCTGTTCAAAAAGCATTTTCTTACATTTTGAGCCGTGAAAGGCCTGAATGGATGATAGCTGACGGCTTTGCTGTCTGTTAACTTAAAAACCAGAGTTAAAATGTTGCTGTTAGACATTGTTTTACATTGAGTTGAATGTGGGTGCCCATGAGCAAACAGTCCACACACATTCTTTACTCAGAGTGAAGATATTTTGACCTAGAGTTTGTCTGCATTTATTCTGAAATCTCCTCTTATCACAAATTACACATTACACTGATAACACAACATCGACATTTCAGGTTGATGATTACTGGTGACTCTTCATACGTCATGGATTAGATCACAGTGTGATCACTGTTGGAGAAGAGTTTTGACATCTCTGATGTGCCTTTTATTCTTTCCAGTTTGTGATGTGAATGTTTTACCAGTGTCTACGTCACTTCCAGATGTTAAAACTGTGGAGGCGAGACGTGCCGCTCTCAGAGAGGCTGGGGGAGGACTCTCCGCTTGTTCCGGCACCTGGCCCCCCACCCACGGCAGCTCCGATGGGCCCCAATATTTCATGGCTTCCTGATGCCCCTCTTCTCGGTTCGGATCCACCTATCTTTCTGATGACTCCAGCTGCGCAGGCTGTGTCTGGCTTCTTCGTCTGGACTGCACTAATCCTCACCTGTCACCAGGTAACAGCTTCCTGGAGTAAACTTTATATAAAAGATGACCACCTCAGGTTTTAAATTTTACCTGTCATATTTGATTTCTGGAACTTGCAGGGGCCATATTTTGATTTCACGTGAGGGTGGAGTGCTTATTTATCACCTAAGCTAGCAATAGCAGGCTTAGATCAGTAAGCTACACCCAGACACTGTAGAGATACTTTGCAGATACTCAGTTAGCTAATAATTAGTGCTAAGTAACAGACTAATAATGTTAAAGTTTCATTTACAAAAAAAGGAGAACAGACATCTTGGATATCAAGTATTCAATATTATTTATACAAAAACAGTTATGACTTTGCGAGCTAGCAAGATATAAGACACTAGCTGCATGTGTCAGCTTCCAAATTGACCACAATAGTTGAAGCCTTAATAAAGTTTAAAAAGGTGAGTTATATAACAAAAAATATCTCAGTACTTTTTATAAGAATGTTAATTGTCTATAAAGATGAAGACCGTTATTGCACCAGGCTGTGAGCAGGTCCTTAATGGTGCAAAGTTGGGATCCAATCACAGGTGGCCATTAGGGGGACTGCAGCTTTTGGCACTTGCACATTGGCTCAGCACTTATCTCTATGGGCTCCTGCTTGTTTCCCAGTGTCATCAAGAGAGATGTGTGCTGTTCAGTTCTACTTTTACTATAATATATTGTGCTCTGCTGGAAGTGCATGTGTTGGTGTTTGAGCGAGCAGACGGTCTGTTGTGATGGATGTGCTCACGAAAAAGACAGACAGGTGTGTTTGTTTAATGCGCAGGTGATGTGATCCAGCAAGCATGCTCAGGCCGAGAGAAGTTGCCGGGTAACATCCCGCGGCAGGTGTTTGTGACACAGAGCATGAATACACACACAGATATGCACAAGATGACACTTTAAAACGTTGAAAGGGGTTTATAAAATCACATTCCTGTGAGTTGAGCTCAGGGGATGTATTGATTAGTGAGGTCAGTGACATGGGCCAACTCACAAGATAGAAAAAAGGCATAAATGACTTATAATAAAAAAAAATCTGAATGGAGGATCTATTCTATCTACCTCTGGTCCATCCTGAGTTGTAAGGACTCTGTGCTCACTTCCTGTGAAATCATAAATGCCCATTAAAGTAGACTTGTGAGTCATTGTAAAAACCTGCCAGTGTTCAGAAAGTCTCTTCCTTCTCTCTTAGATCTACATGCACCTGCGTTTCTACAGCTCACCCAGGGAGCAGCGCCATATCGTACGGATCCTCTTCATCGTTCCCATCTATGCCTTTGACTCCTGGCTCAGCCTCCTGTTCTTCACCAATGACCAGTACTATGTTTACTTTGACACC